TTCTGCCTGACACTTACTTTTGTAAATAAAATTCTGTTGGAACTTAGCTACACCCATTCATTTATGTATTATTTGTGGCTGTTTTCACATCACAGTAGTAGAGTTGAGTAGTTGTAACAGAGATAATATAGCCTGCAAAACCTAAAATATGGACTATCTGGTCCTCACAGAAAAGTTTCCCAACCCTTGCCATAGGGTAATGTCCTTGTCTACATGGTCAGTGCTAGCTCATCACCAAGTGCCCACACTCCAGGATGTGGGAAGAGGGCAAGAGAACAATTGGAAGACAAAAGATTTCATTTTCAAAAGACTGACTTGTACCTGCACATTTCACTTTTCATTTATCCCCCTGGCGTGATTGTAGTGGAGCAGAAATGTGCCCAGCTAAAGTATGTGTGGATGAGTCTATTACTAAAAGGAAAAAGAGTAAGTATATACCGGAGAACAGTGAGCAGTGTCTGCCACAACTCTCTATGGTAAAAATAAGGTGGCATATATGGAAATGAGGTGGAAAGGATAAGCCCCTTAAAGCAGCTGCTTTCTTTACTGAATGAATTGATTTTAACAGTGAGAAGCACTTCACAAAACAGAAATTTGCTCTGTCCAGGAACTTTGCCTCTTTCTTACTTATTCCTAGTTACATGTAATTCACCCAGAGTCACACTAATATTTTAAAGAGCGGCTCATTAATCAGAGAATTACAAGTCAAAACCACAATGGACACCTTCAGAATGGCTTGAAAATGCCAACTGTTGACAAAAATGTGAAGAAACTGAAATTCTAATATATCTCTGGTGGCAGTGTAAAATGTTACAACCATTTTGGAAAATGATTTATCAGTAACTACTAAAGCTGAATGTATACATAACCTATATACTAAACAGGAAGGCAAAAATGTTCTCACCAAAGATATGTACAATATCCACAGCATTGCAACTTGTAATAGCTAAAAACTAGAAACTACCCAAATGCCCATCAACAGTAGAAGGTATATTTACACAGTAAAATACTAGTTGGGAATGAGAATAATATGCACGAATCTCATTTTAAAAATGTTGAATGAAAGACCCAGAAGAGTACACAGAGTCTAGTTTATTTTATAGATGGTGAAAAATGGTTATATTAATCTTAGAAGTCAGGACTTACATCTCAGAGAGTGGTACTTTGGAGAGTGGCTAGTGACTGGATATGGGTATGAGGTTGTGGGGGAGGTTGAAACAGTCTCAAGTTATCCACTTAAGGTTATCTATTTTTACATCATCTTTGACTTCAATAAAGCACTCTATTTCTTAATTTAGTCACTGGTTTCATGAGTATATTTACCTTATAAAAATCAATTAAGCTGTACACATATCATTTGTGAATTTTTAAATATATAGAATCAACTTCAAAAACCATTTACCTATAATAGAAAAATAAAGTATATGCATATAGATTCTTCCATTTCTAAAATCAACCATGGCCATAAAACATACATAATTTGAAACCGAATAAGAAGAGGATAACTCCATCATCACGTCAGCTAAGGAAGTATTTCTTAGACCTTTCTCTCTACAAACACGACAAACATCTACCTTTGTCCTATATTATTATTTTCCTTAAAATTGCTTAAATATTATGTAAGAATAAAGGAAGGGGCATGAAGGAGAGAGGGAAAGGAAAGGTTTAACAAATTTGAGAGACTTGGGTATTTCTTTACTCCCTGGACACTTTTTTAAAAAATCTATCTTTCTCTCCTTACCACTGGTAATCCCACCCTTCAGCCCCCTTAAGAATTATCACTCAAGTTATTCTTGGTCATTTGTTTTTTCTGCTTTGATTCTGAATACAAGAAAATAGTATGCACAAAATGTTTAACGTTTAATTGGGATGGTCAATAAAGTTAAAGAAAGTAATAACCTAAGCAAAACTGTCATTTCATGATCATTTCCCAAAATATCTTGAGCAAAATTCATGGAGGGCTTATCAAACTCTTTACAAAAGCCTCCTACTGGGTCACTAAATAATTATAAATTATAGGACTGAAAGAAGACAAGTTTGAATTTACTTCCTTTAATCTTCAATTGGGTTTTTTAAAAATGTTTCTCTTTCAACTTTCAAATCTAGAAATGAAAATAATGGTTCTTTCCAATGCTCTGAACTGTTTTAAACCACATAGTACTTAATACATTTACTACATTTACTTTTATTTACTGTAGAACCAAATAGCCATAAAAACATTTTTCAAATAAATATGATGCTTCAAAACAAGCAGAGAAAAACGATTTCACTTACTTCTGTTCCATAATTGATAATATTTATAAACAAAAATAAAGTCAATCATTATAACCTAGATTTTAACATTTTTGCTCTGATTATGTCACCAGGAATAGAACCTTAAAAGATAAACTGAAATTATCATGGTATAAACAGCAGCATTTATCTTGGGATTTTATGATGGAATTGAAGAGAAAGTATTTTTAAACTATTGCTACAAGCATGCCTATTAAGACATTTTTGTAAATTCCCCAATATTTTTAATGTTAATATTTGAACCCAATCATGCATGTTGATTCCATTAATTTTGTTACAGTTTCTGTTGTGATATACTTGTTGAAAATATTCATTATCTTGGATAAAATCATAAAGAATTTTAGTTCAATTTTATTTCTTTAAAGTCTCATGACATCTTCTGACACCTATTTTATTAAATTTTAAATTAAAAATTTTATCATGTGTCCCTTAATTGATTGTCCTAATGTATTTTGTGTGGAACTAGATTCTCACCAGGTGAGATTTTTAATCCATTTAAGTGTGCATTTAAAGGGGAAAAAATGTCATGAGAAACTTTTAACAGCTATAAGTTAACTATCAAATTTTTCCAAATATGTAATGACACATTAGGTTAAACGAGTTAGAAAGCACATTACTGCTTGTCAAAACAAAAATTAACTCTCCCATTTACTTATTCCTTAATTTTAATTTTAAATCACTTTTATTTTTCAGTCTTCTCTTTGAAAGAATTTAGTAAAAGTTAAATAGGTAATCATAATCAAAGATCTCATTCTCATTAACATGTTTTGGAAACGTAAACTTCAATTCCTCTCTGCCTGAATTATCACAACGCAAGCTGGAGAGTGAAGAGTAAACACGAGCAAGAAAAAAGAAAATCAATTAAAGGACAAAAGATTAAGGGAAGCTCAGACACAACTGGGTTTAGAGAGAGAGAGAGAGAGAGAGAAGAAAGAAGGGAGAATGACAGGAGTCAAAGAAGTAAAGGGAATATCAGGAATAATGAAGGAAGGAAGGAAGGAAGGAAGGAAGGAAGGAAGGAAGGAAGGAAGGAAGGAAGGAAGGAAAAAGAAGAATTCTAGATGGTACCGCTTTAATGATATCTAGGAGTACACACTGGGAATCTAGAAAGAATAGGAATTGTGCTTACCTGTTAGAAATAGGCGATTTCTGGGAGCTGTCCAATGTACCAAGTGAAAGGTCACAAGAACAATTTATCTCCTTAATAGGAATTGATGCACATCGTGATTCTCCCTGGAACCAAGGCATCTCTTTGCTCATCTTTTTGTGTGTGTGTGTGGCTATATCTTTAATTACACCTTTAAAATGATTTTCTAACAAGTTGTTCTGTCCCACCGTGTCTTCTTAAAATTCCTCACACTGAATAATTAAGTAAATATAGCTACCGGCAAACAAAGAAGGAAAAACGAACCCTTCTTTGTTAAAATATTAGAGACAATGTGAAAGTAAAATTTCATTTCCATTATACCAAATTAAAATTTTCCTTTTCATCTTAAAAAAAATCTAACGATAATTAAAATTCTCCCTTAACAGCATTCGATAAAGTGTAGTTTCTGCTCTTATGTCCTGTAGAGCATTACAGATCAATGAGGAAAATAAACCAGATGGAAGTGTCACGATTTTTCTTGGTTCACAATTTAAAATTCAGCAATTTAAAATTCGAAAGACTTAGCAATAGAGGGTGAGCTGATAGACTCATTGGTTTACCAAGGGGTAAATTGCATTTTTGAAAGGAGATTAAACTTGTTTTGTTTGGGGGTGGAGAGGGTTTGTTTTTCCTTACACGCTGGGATTATACACTAAAGCAAGCTCGAAGAAAAATAAGCCGAGCCTCCCCCTTTTCATTTTATTGCCATCATAACTTTTAACCTCGAAGTAAAATGCCCTAATTTACGTGAGTAGGAGATGAGGGTAAGGAAAGTCAAGAGTCTGAATTGTTAGGTTGATTACAACAAAACAGACTTTAGAAGTCAGGGTTTGTAGCCGGGCAGGAGAGATGTTTAGGATGCCCTGTAAGGAGAAAGGCGGTTCCAACAGCGACTCTGGGGAATGTGATCTCAGCAACCCCCTACCGTGCTTACTTAAGCTAATGGGAAGATCTTGCCTTTCAGTAGCCGCTGCACTGGGATACCAGACAAACAGATTCCCCGACCCCTGGCAGACAGGGCCCCTCTTCGGGACATCATTAAAAGCACATGCACTTGTTCTGCACTCATTGGCAGCATCGGATAGCAAGATAAGAACTCCTATTCCGAAGCCAAGGAGAAACCAGAGGGATGGAAAACATTCTCGCTTTGAAAAGCCAAAGCTAAATTAAAGAACTACATGAGATAAGGAGCCTGAAGAATATTAGTTGGCTGCGGGGGTGAGGAGAGTCACAAAAAGCACAGCAGGTAAGAGCTGGGGGTTGTTGCCAAGAAGGAACTGTCCCAGGTGGCGCAGCAAAATGGATCTCAGAATTGGAGGCCTGTCCCTTTGAGTCGTCCATGCGTGTTCAAGCTTGTCTCTTCCCATCAGTTTCGAGAGAAGGGACGTTGTCATAGCCTTCCCTATCGGTGCGACTAATCCTGTTATCAGCTTAGTTATAAATATTAATGTCCTCTGGCCTTCCGGTGATGTTGTCGCGTCAAATTCAGGGTTGTTAAGCCTAGCACCAGTCTCGTCCCTCTCTGCGAGAGACAGATGAGACTCAAGGCCAAGAAGACGCGATGGCGGCCTTTCCCGAGAGCTGCGTGGATGCCACCATGCTGGACTTTGTCGCAGATCTGTCCCTCGCCTCCCCAGGGCACCCCCTCCTCTGCGACTTCGCGCCCGGCGTCCCCTTTGGGGACCGAGGTCTTGTGCTTCCCGAGGGAAGACCCAGGAGGCTGGCAGGCTTTGAGGAGGAGGATCCAGAAGAAGAGGAGGGCGAAGTAGACGAGGTGGGGGAGGAGGAGGAAGAGGAGCTCGAGAGAGGCGCCTCCCTGCTGGGCCGCCCGAAGAGAAAAAGGGTGATCACCTATGCTCAGCGCCAGGCCGCCAACATCCGCGAGAGGAAGCGGATGTTCAACCTCAACGAGGCCTTCGACCAGCTGCGAAGGAAAGTGCCCACTTTTGCTTACGAGAAGAGGCTGTCCCGGATCGAGACCCTACGCCTGGCCATCGTCTACATTTCCTTCATGACCGAGCTCTTGGAGAGCTGCAAGAAAAAGGAAACCGGCTGAGCCGGGCAGAAATGGACATGTCTGCTCCTCCTCGACTGGGCGCGTGGTGCCTTGGGGTGTTTCAGGACCCCGCCATGGGTGCGGATGAAAGGCCAAGAGGGACGCTTTAAAACAGAACTTCTGGCCTTCTGGAGCGTGCTTCGGGGTTGTAAAATCCCCACAGCCCTCGCAGAGTTAATCATATACGCGATCGATTTCAGTGGAGTGCGGGGCCGGGATCCGCGGGCGGGGCGCGCTAGAATGAGCGGAGGCCGTCGAGGCGCGCGCCCAGAAGCAATTACTGCCAGCCCGGTGGATGGGAAGCTAATCTTCGCAAGGGCAGATTTCGGGATCTTCTATAGAGCCCAATCTCTCCTTAATTTTTTTAAAAATGGAAATTAAAATTAGACTTTTTTTTTTTTTTTAACTTCCATAGTCTGTGCTACGCCATCCCTAACAGGCGCTCCACTCAGGCCTGCACCCTTAAGTAGATCCAGCTGCAGAGATCCAGGAGGGGTGTTGGATGTGGGTCTCGGAAGAGGCCAAGACGCTCCGTCTCTCGTCTGGTCATTTTAGGCTTGTCGAGAGACAGAAGGAAGAAGATATGGAAGGAAGGAAAGCCGAGGGGACCGGCGACCTCTGAGAATTAACCTCATTCTTCCCCGCCCCTCCCCTTCCCTTCTTTTAACGCTCAGAACCAGCAACTCTATTCCAGTCCCTGCAGGAGCCCAACGATTGAACTAGTGGGTGGATAGGGGCATCTCCGGCCCCAGTGCCGGAAGCGCTCTTGGGGTCTTGGGAGCCCAGAGCCTTCGCCGCTGGTGCTTGCTTCCCGCTGTCTCCTCCGGGGAGGGGCGGGGGTACCGGGGAGG